CGCGGCCGCCCCCTCCCTGCGAGCCTCCATATAACCCGCCTCGACGGGCCGCCGCGCGCCCTGCCTCCCCGCCTCGAAGGCGCCTGGTGGGCCTGGGAAGGAGCGACGCGCGAAGCGGGGGCCAGGCCGGCGACTCGGTACCGATGCTGGGGGCTCCGACGGCACCAGGTAGGCAGCGCAGGGACCGGACCGGCGCCGGAGGGACTTGCGCGGGGGTCGGCTCTGCTCGTCTGCGGGGTTGGAGAGCTGGGAGTTGGCGGAAAGACCCGCACAGACTGGGAGAGGGCGACATCCGGTCTCCCTCGAGGTCCGACAGGCTCCCTGGACTTGGCTCTGGGACAGGGAGCCGGCCGGAGTCCAGTCCGGAGGAGAGGCGGGTATGGCCCCCAGTGTGGAGGCCTCTTGGGGGCAGGAGCAGCCTCCCTGGGGTTCCCGGAGGGCCTCCCCCCTACTAGCCCCTCCTCACCTTGGCCTCAAGGCCCTCCTGCTAACTCCCTCCCCCCAGCTTGGAGGGAAGGCTCAGAATGTGTTCCTGGAGAGGCGGGCCCCCACTTCATGCTGCACCTCTGAGCTCTGTACTGATGTGATGGAGGCCTTAGCCTGCCAATCCCCGGCGTTCTCCACTACTGAGACCGCTGATCTGAATCTGGGCCTGGTCACAAGGAGCTAGTTGGGGGCGGGCGCGGGTCTCCCCGTGGTTCTAAGCTGGCCGGGGGGGCGGCCTGTTGCTGAGTCTGGAGTAAGGACAGGGGCCTGGCAGGAGACAGACCCCCGGTTCCTGCCTCTCCCCCCACTCCCTGCACTCCCGGCCCCCGGAGCCATGGTCCTCTCAGGCTTTAAACCCAGGGGAGGAGCTATGGTTACCGTCCTGTTCAGCCTGTGTTGCTGAGTCTGGAGTAAGGACGGGGCCTGGCAGGAGACAGACCCCCGGTTCCTGCCTTTCCCCCCAGCCATGGTCCGTCCTCTCAGCCTTTAAACCCAGGGGAGAAGCTATGGTTACCGTCCTGTTCGGCCTGCATTTTTGTCTGGTCCCTGAGCTGAGGTGCACACGTATGCACTTGTCCACATACACAGACGGGTGACAGGCAGACCGTTGTCACCCAGCAAGGGGCCGGGGCAACTGTGGGATTATCGTCTGACCCGAGGCCGCCTGGCCCAAATGGACTGTGGTCTGTTGGTCCAACACCTGGCTGTTTGGAGGCCATTGGCACAGCCGTGGCTGGGCGGGGTTTGCTGTCATGGACCGTGTTGAGCTTTAATAATTAGCCTGGGGGGAGTGAGTCCTGTAAGCGGAAATAAAACCCATCGCCCCTTTGGTGTTTCCAGAAACCCAGCCACGCGTCTGTTGGTTTATTCCGTGAAATGTCAGAAAGCACCGCACTGAGAACAAAGGGCAGCCTGTTTGGAATTCGGCAGCACGTGAATGTGCGGGGTGTGCGTGCAAGTGTAAAATAGGAGAAAAGCCGGGGAGCGGAGCTGTGCGGAGGCCTGTGCGTCGGTCAGTGGGGCCTCCAGAGGTGGCTGATAAGTAGGCCTGGCGCCCTTGCCTGGTCGCCCAGTGGGTGGAGCGTCGACCTGGGTCCGCCAGGGGGGCTGTCGGGAGGGTGCCTCAGGTTAGTATTTATTTATAGAGGATGCCCCACCCACAACCAAGAATGGATTGTAACGTGGAAACACGTGCCAGCAACTCAGCCAAAACAGAGACAGAAAGGGGAGCCCCAGGACTGGGGAGAGAGACAAACACCCCGGAACCCGGCGGGTGGGGGTCCTGCCTGCAGCCGCGGAAGCATTCACGGAGACGGCCACACCCAAGGGGGCCCCGGGTCCCTGAAGGGTGCGGGGCGCGTGCTCCTCTGGCCTGGAGGCAGCGCCCGCTCACCGAATCCCAAATCCCGGGGGCGTTGATCACCCAGACGGTCCTGACGGGCGTGGATACGCCAGGAACTTGGGTTTGCAACAGATCAGAAGCTTTCCTCAAAGCCCTCCTGCTCGCCAGCCCCACACGGGAGGGCACACCTTCATCTCCCACCCAGGAGCTTCTGCAGGAACGGAGCCGGTGTGTTATGATGTGTCATTTCCTGATGCCTTAGCCCAGTGGCTCTCAACCTTCTGTTCCTCATGTTGTGGTGACCCCCAACCATAACATTATTGTCGTTGCTACTTCATAACGCGACCCACAGGTTGAGAACCGCTGCTAGCCCCTGGGGGGGTGGCGGGGGTGGGAAGAAACCAGACAGAGAGAGGGGTCCGCCAGGGGGGCTGTCGGGAGGGTGCCTCGGGTTAGCACCCACATCCAAGAATGGATTTGTAACGTCGAACACGTGCCAACAACTCAGCCGAAACAGAGACAGAAAGGAGAGCCCCAGGACTGGGGAGAGAGACAAACACCCCGGAACCCGGCGGGTGGGGGTCCTGCCTGCAGCCGCGGAAGCATTCACGGAGACGGCCACACCCAAGGGGGCCCCGGGTCCCTGAAGGGTGCGGGGCGCGTGCTCCTCTGGCCTGGAGGCAGCGCCCGCTCACCGAATCCCAAATCCCGGGGGCGTTGATCACCCAGACGGTCCTGACGGGCGTGGATACGCCAGGAACTTGGGTTTGCAACAGATCAGAAGCTTTCCTCAAAGCCCTCCTGCTCGCCAGCCCCACACGGGAGGGCACACCTTCATCTCCCACCCAGGAGCTTCTGCAGGAACGGAGCCGGTGTGTTATGATGTGTCATTTCCTGATGCCTTAGCCCAGTGGCTTGGTCTGCAGGATGCAAACCTTATTGCCACGCCCCGTTTGATCCCCGACCCCCCGCCCCACGGGGCAATAATGACCTGCCCAGAGCCTCCATGTCCTGCCCAGAACACACGCCTGCAGCCAGCAGCATTGGTGCGGTGTAACCAGAACACACATGCCTCTTTGTGAAGTTCCCTTCTCAGGTTCCTGGAGACTCGGGGACCCTTTCCTGCGTGTGATGCAGAGGAAATGGGTTCTGGGTTACAGACAGG